GGGGCCCCCCGGCCCGGCCGGGGAGAGCCCGCCCCCGCCTCAGGCCGCTCCGTCCCGGATGGCTGCGATCGCTCGGGCGCAGAGGGCGCCCGCGGGCGGCGGGCAGGGGAGGCGCCAGCTCTCGTCCCGGCCGCCCCGCCTCAGCGCCAGCCGCGCTCAGGCTGTACCTGGGCAGCCGCGGGCCCCGGGCCGGTGTTTCACCGCGGGTGGGGAGCGCCCAAACCGGGGAGCGGGAGGAGGTGGCCCGGCACAGGCTGGGACGAGGGCAGGGCCGTGGGGAGCGGGAGCGTCCGCCCAGGCCGGGGAGCTGGGAGCTGAGCCGGACCGCCTGCCTTCACCTCTGAGGGCTCTTTGCATCCTCTTCCCGGCAGGGACGCAGCGATGCTCCCCGTAGAATCATTGCAGCCGGGCGCAGCGTCGTTCCTCGCTCCTGTGGTGACCTCTCTGTGGCTGACCCAGAGCTGGAGAAAACTGGAAGAGCTCCCTTGTGCCGCAGCAGATTCCTAAAGGTGCGCAACGAAAGCGTGGACGGAAGCCAGTGGTGCCAGCCATCGGGAAGCGCCGTGCAGGCAACGAGCAGACACGTAGCAAAGAGCACTCCGGGTAGCGCTTCCCACACACGGTCGAGCTCAGCTCTGAGGAAAGTGGCACAACTAGAAAGGAAAATCATGAATCGAAAAAAGCAGATGGAATTGCAAAACACTGACTTGGGCCGGAAGCCTTTGGGTGAGGAGTCCTTCTCATCTGCTTCCAGTCCTGAACACAGTGCACGGGGCAAGAAATACCTGAAGAATCACGCTACTGCCAGTGGAAATGTGACCCTCAGTAACGCCTGTTCTAAGGAAGAGGAAAGCATCCAAAGCCCTAAAAAGAATGTTCTGGTTAAACAACAGCTTGGTGTGGATAGTGAGGAAGAGGAACTGAGAGAACTGATGGAGAGCTCTTCGGAGTTTTCTGGTGGAAATGAGAATCGGAGGGTTGCTGCAAGTGATTCTAAATGGGGTAGAAAGGTAAATACAGACTTTGCTGAATTATGTATTTTTATATCCACTTTTATGAAATTGTTTTAATTGCTAGGTCACTTTTTATTTAGATAACACCAGAAACTAAATTTTAATTTTGCATTTGTGGTTTGCTCATGATATGATTTAAGTTGAATTCACATTATAAAATTACTGGGTTTTACCCATTATAATTTGTTTTCCTTTTTAGTGATCTACACATAATAAATGAAGTAACACATAAATCTCTTTTTCATGTTCTTCAAAAGAGTAAGACTCCAGTTTTGTCA